ATTTATAAGAATATTATATGTTGTACCTCTTTTTTTTTCGATAACAAACACGTTTTCAATCACATAACGTAGTACAGAGACGGTCATTATCACTTTCATGAACCAATTTGATCATGGTTTCATCAACTTGAACCCGGCTTTTTACTATAAGAAGACTATAATGAAACGCTGAATCAAAGAGACAATAACACAATTGAAAAATGGTTTTATGATATATATTGGTTTTTATAGGATGTTTTGAAGAATAAAATAGCGCTATTATAATCTGGTCAAATATTTTAAATTTTCGCTCCCATTTACGAAGTTAAGCTCCATGAACAAAGAGAGTTTATTTAACAAACTGGTCGAGGAATTTAAGTATACAAAAGGGACTTTAGATTAAAAGGTTATTTGATCCTAATAACCATTTGTGTATTACTAGTGGATTCAAGATATGTATAATAAAAAGTAAATAAACATGCACCCATTATATAATGTCCAGAGGAAATATCCGTTGTACCTGAAGTACGAAGGTAAATAAAGTACTAAATAGGCAGATACGTCACTGTAAATAATGAGTTAATATTGTTGATATCCATAAAACCGGTGACATATCTAGGCTGGGGAGCTATCTGGTGTTCCTATCGTTGCGCCACAGTCCCCGGATGAGATCACTCTCTGTTAAAGAGCTTATCTCATCCTTATCTATCCATTGAAATCTCAACGGTTCAGAGAAACGGAATCGTTCGGTTACTAATTAATAACACCATTAATAAAAATGATGTCTCGCCGCATAATTAAATGGCTAAATAAATTGACGAATTGATGTTACTTCTAGCGGAATATGAATGTATTTTCATTAATAGACGTTGCTTCTAAATTTTTCATTACATTGGGAAACATTCAGCAGCTATTTTTCAAAACATTCCTATTTTTCAGATTTTCATTTACAATTTAGAAATGCTTATAATAGTTATCCCAGGTTTTTAAGTTTTGTATACCTCTGTAGCTCTTTCAAATTGTATAAGAGATTTGAAAATTTATATGGATTGTAAGGCTCGAACAAGTTTTTTTTTTAAACTCCTACCATTACTTCCTTCATTGTTTACAGTTTAGCTCACCTTTAAAGCTCTTCCTAATATAGTTAAAAAGTTGAAAATTTATATTTGAATTGAGCTGTTATAAGAGAGTAGTCTACATTTTCATACCATGTTTTTCTAGCAGCAAATAGGTTAATAGCTGCGCGGCGAACACCATCAAATTTTTCCTTGTTTTTTTTTTTCATTCATAGTAAATAAGAATAAAACTGAATATCTATGTAAGAACAGTCTAAATGTTATAATGTATTGCTGTGTCGACAAGGATTCATGACAGCTCTGCATATACTGACTTGTGCCGAACTACAGGACATTAGAAACAAAGCCAGGACAGAAGATAAAATTTACTGGCATGCTAGATTTCGCATGTCCAAAAGAGCTCAAGACGATCAAGGCATAGGATAAAAAAAAAAAAAAAATAATGTTTTGCTTATACTGTTATATATAAAGTAAAAAATCACTAAATGATACGTTAAAAATGTACAGAAAATAAATAATTTCTTTATAAGAAGTGTAAATGTTAAAAATAATGCATTATTTACATTTCAATGGTGCTTCATAATTTAGGGAGAATGATTATAATAAGATAATTTGAAACATTAAAATAAATACGGGCATATAGGTTAGATTATACTCGTACTCCCATCTTTCCAATTTGTAAAATGATAAAATACATATCAAGGAAAAGATGTGTTCGCCTTTAATACAAAATGCTAATAGATACTGCGTGTAATATAACTTCTATGAAATTGTAAAATACACCTTGAAATTTAATGTATTTGAGCCCAAATTTTCTTAAAATGCACCCGGTCTGAACAGCAATCCTACTAGACAAAGATTATCATTTAAAACGATCGGTAACTTTATGTTCGTCCATCGATTTAATAATGAATTTGGGGACCCCTGGTGTAAGATCTGTGCTTTTTTGGGAGTCTTTTTTTCTATCTCATGCGCCATATTATTAAATGAAATTTGGAAACAATTTACAAAATGTTCAGCTGTTGATTTCGAAATTTTATTAAATTTAATGTAAGCATTAATGAAACATATAGTCATTTTTTATCGGTTTACGAGACAATAAATTAGACGAAACTATGGTCTTAGTGACAGTGCTGGGCTGCTCAGGTTTTCTTTTTTCTTTTTTTTTTTTTTTTTTGAATGATGAATACAAATAAGATATTAATTCAATATAACATTTCGATGACATTAAAAACGTTGGCTGAAAGAATTATTTTATAATGTCGGGTAAGGTTTGAGAAAGGTGAAACGAATACTAACCTGTTCCATTTGGTATTCTAAGTGAAGTAAAAAACCTTGAGCTGAGGCTAATCGACAGAAATATCTACCGCTCACAAAATGTCTCAAGTATTTTCTAACAATTTGAAAAACTAATAACTATTTATTTATAATGTATCACTTTTAATATTAGATTTTTACTTAACTCAAATAGCTTAATTATTTTTGAAAAACATTCAGGAATTGATTATACTTTTCTTAATTACAAACCTCATAACTATGGTGTGGACACAAAGGAATTTATTTTATTTTTTTTTGTAATATGTGTTGGCATATTTTTGTCTAATTAGCAAAAATTTTATTATTGTACTTATTAAGGCCTAAAATGTGTCATATTTCGACGAGTTTAATTTATTTTAGGCATTGATTTTTTTAAATTACTTAAATTGGATGTTAATTGGTATTTGAAATGATGTTAATTATATTTCTCATTTTGACCAAATATTTTTCAAATTGTAAAATAGTTTTACATTTTGAATAAATTAAAAGTAGATTGTTGCGAATCGCCCGAATACGGATGTAAACTTTTAAGTATGAAGGACTGTTTTATTCTATTTGACAACTTACAATTGAAGTAAGTCAAAGAAAATGTTCTAAAACGTGGGGAATTTATGATCCAATTATGGGGAATCTACAGATACAATTGAAATCATGATAAAATCAATTTATAATTTGTACCGTTACAATTAGATCGCAATTTTTTAGCATGGATGATAAATTATTTTAAGTACATTTAAATTACTAACTGGTTTATAACTGACAATGATTTTTCAAATTATTTAATTTTTAATAATGAGTATATAATTTATGCTATGAAATAATGATACTTAAGTAATATTAAATAGTAAATTAATTACTTCTTCGTTTAGTTAAAATTTAAATGTGTCTCTTAAACATCTGTAGATGTACGTAAATTCTATTCTACTTATAAACTGAAAAATAATTAAGTTTGAGAGAAAATAATCTTGAAATGCTTGTGGTTAGCAATCATAATTATACATTTAGTTCAATATTTGTAGGTAGGTTTTTATAAATCATTATAAAAAAAATTATATTTTTTTTACTAAAGAGATAATTTTATCTGGGGATTAATGGAAATAACACCTTACCTACTAATTGCAATTATATTTCAAAATACAAAATGTTTCATCACGAATTAGATACATTTATACTTTATTTTTACATTTTTATTCGTATTTTGTAGACAATTACATAAATAATTTTCATTGAATTCGATTTATTGGTTTTGGTAGAAAAAAAAAAACATTTATTTTATTTAAACAAAACCTGAAAACTGTTGTAGCCGGGATTTCAAGTAGTTCAGTTTTACCACAAATAACAATATTATAGCGAAATAATAGCAAAATTATTAATTATATGTCAAAAGAACTGCTCCCATCTATTTTTTATTTTATTATAATTCTTTACGAGTCGAAATCAGTCTAAACCAAAGTGCGTTAGAATGTTTCAAGTTTATAACGTCTCTTAGATAAAACCTCTTTCCTAAAGTTTATAGACTGATATAAAAAGCAGTTGAGTATTCACTATCGTAATGTCTACAAGAGCTATCAGATAAAAAAAAAAAATGTAGGTCGATTAACGTAGCCGTAAAACTTTAGCAGCAGAAATAAGTAAATTCATTGCAACGTCGTGCAGGAAGTTTTAAACTCATGGGTTGAACACGACAAGTCGATAACATTGATAATCTAAAGCGAATGAAAATGTTAAGCTACATGTAATATATATAAACTGATTTATTGAAGTAATAAAAACAATAAAATAAGCTACGAAAAAATATAGAAACAATTAAGGAATGACTAAAAAACGACGTGATGCAAAAGAAGTGATTAAGTAATAATTGTAAGTTGACAATTTAAATTTATAAAAATACTATAGCTGTTCGAACATGACATATATATATATATATAATGCTCATATATAATGTTTCTATTATATATAGTTTATTTTCTAAAATCTTCTCATTAGTGTTTATAGACAAATACAGAATATTCTCTCTCTCTCGTTCTCCCTATTAGCTTTTCATGAAGCGTTCTGGAAAAAGATGTATCATTTTTTTTAAATTTAATTTCAATCACTTTCATGAAATATTTTTGTAATGAACTTATTTTTAAATATTAATCGAATACATAATTATACTAGGGGTCGTAAACTGGACCAGGGGTCGCAGTTTTCAGTATCTGCTTATGAATAGAACAGATTCTATTTAAGGAATACGAACTTACAATTTATGTTTAATTAATTGTTTTGCATCAAAGCACTGTTTCTCTTCTCCCCCTATTTTTAAGCGTATTATTTTATTAAATCAATACACATCCTTTTCATGGTGCTTTATATTCTTATCCACTTTTAATTATTAATAGTATTGACTTATTGTGTTTGGCTGATAGTTTAAAGCTATCTGCAGTTTAGTGCGATGAATTTGCTTATGTTTGCTCCTAAAGTATTATTGGCGACGTCAATCGACATACATTTCTTTATCAGTGATGACCTAAATTGAATTAAAATGATCCATATTGAAATTGTAACCGTAAGAAGAAATGAATAAATACAAAAATGAATTTAAAGGACCCGTTGTTTTTTTTTTCGATGTGCGTATAAACCCGGAAATCATGCGGACACGAGTAATAAAGACGCGACATTATTCTTGACGGCGTCTGAGTCCGACTGTCGGTGGAGTTGGAGGAATAAGAATATTGCTATGACACACTTCCTCCTCGACCCATTGTCTTCGGCAATAACCTGGCTAGAAGAAAGTTTGCCTAGAGCGGTGGCAATCAAACCCGATTCGATATGCAAAGGCCCACCCCGCGCTCTCCAGCGAACTCTCGTCATTGAGGAAGGTAACGGAGTCTGGAAGGGCGAGCTCACATGAAGGTGCATAAGAGTGTAGTGCCCAAAATATTCTAAACAGAAACTATAAACTTGTTCTGTGTATCAGCAATGCTGGAGGGATTCCAACAGTTGAATAAACACTCCATAGCTTCAGTCAATATTTTCAAATTCTAATTTATTTCACTAATATATTACTTGAGGGAAAATAAATATGTAACATTAAGTATGCGATTCAGAGATTATTATAATTGGTAATTGGTTGACTGTCGTGGATAATGAAGAGAAGAATAGTTGGGGTGGTCAGTCAAAAAGGAAGGCAAAAATAAATGATAATATTTATTTTTTACATATGCCGACGTTTCGACCTGAAGTTCAGGCCTTCATCAGGGCTAAGAAAATAACCAGATAACAAGGTATGAGAAACATAAGTAATGATGGAAAAAAAGATAATAAAAAGAGGAAAATAAAAAAATTAGAAAAATAAAATAGATAAATATAAAGTAAACTGAAATCGTTAGAATAATGACTAAAAACTATGAGATAAATAATAAAAACCGTTACAAAGTGTGGAATGATGAAGTAGGCAAAATCAAAAAGGGTGACAAAAGTGTTACAATGGGAATCTTCGAATAAAATGTAAAACATAAAAAAGAAATATGAAGTTATATAAGTAATGAAAATAAACAGTAAAATTAAAACATTGAGAATGGAGTAGTTAGATAGAAAATTGAGATATTGTCTATCAAGATGTACAGACAATGTATAATATAATAAAGAGTTAAAAACAGAGAAAAGGAATGAAAGGAAGGAGGGAAGAAATTGAGAAAAGAAGTACTACCTGTCTCCTTAAGTGTCGCAGGGAGAATAAAAGTCGTTACAAGGGAGGGGGAGAGAGAAGAGATGTGTAGGTGGCGTCATCTCTAAGGTCGAAACGTCGGCATATGTAAAAAATAAATATTATCATTTATTTTTGCCTTCCTTTTTGACTGACCACCCCAACGATTCAGAGATTAAAAGCGAATCATCTGCTTCTCAATACTCTTCATGTTGGGAATGATGGAAAAATATTATAACTTCTGTGTTCTGAATGTAGTCCGTGGTACAGACTCCTATTTTTCAAATTATTAACATCCGCCTAAAACTTCGTGAATGGCTTTAACTTATTATAAGCTACAAATTTATTTGCTACTAAAAATTGCTAAAATTTTAGAAATGGAGCGTTTTTTCGTTAAATTAATTAATTTTATTAGATAATAAAAACTCATAAATGTCCATTTGAATTCCACGGAAATATATTAAAAGGTAATTTGACCACAAAATCAAAAGAAAGGAAAAGTGACCTACATAAATATTGGGCCGTTTGGCTTCTATAAGCTTGTTATTTCGACATGTTGGTGATGGAGTTTGGTATGGTGGACACCTCATTTCATAGGACTTTGTTAGATAACTGTATATAACGATAAGATGAAGCGACTCATAAAGTTTCAGACTGATGTTACTAATTTGACAAAAAGAGGTCGGTACCACGGACTAGTGCATACGAGTAAAGTAGATAGAACCAAGAAACTGAAACTGTCATTTATAGAGGAATTTTACAAACGCTAAAATAATGATTGACTTTAAAAGACCTTTCGTATTAATCATAATTGACGCAAATGGTCCGACATTCATTATTAGTTTTTACTTAACACCGTAGGTATTATTTATTTCATTTTAAATTGTATGTGTGCATATATATATTATATAATATAATGAATAATACCTATGAAATAGTTGATGTAAAAAAAAACAAAAAAAAAAAAAAATGTGCTTGCATTTTAGGTTAAATAAAAGAAGAAACGTGGGGGAAAATAGATAAAGAAAAAAAAATTGTTTGAAGGACCTAATCTTTCTCGGTAGGGAAAAAATTCAGTAAGAATGCAAAGATAAGCAATATAGACGCGACTTATTATTCCTCTTTTTTTTCACCAAAGCATATTTACATTCAAAAATTTCTAAATAAAAAATATTTAAAATATTTTAATTATTTCTGGAATCTGCCTGAATTTTGTTGACAGTAAAACATTCAAAGAAGATTAATTTACAAATAAGTATTACAAAAATGTCAGGGTTAAAATGGTTGATTATTTATTCCAAAGCTTTACTGGGTCATCTAATATGAAAACAAATCGGAGAATATTATAATTATTGGAATTACACAATGATAATTAATCGTAAGTTACAATCAGATTTAATGTTCTATTTACATCGATAGGTGTAAAAATCTGGTGCGGGCAACACACAACTTTCACTTACCGCTCTATTTTGAATAGAAATCATTTTTCAGCAATTTTGGGCGCTTAAACAAAAATTGAAATGCACGTTAAACGGGGCTAAAGGTTAATGTTACAAATAACAAATCATAAATACCATTTTTAAACAATGGCATTGGCTTGGAGTTTAAATACTTTTCTTTTCAAACTTAGAAAAATAATTAAAAGTTTACATTTAGTAAGAAAATTTCATTAAATTTCCTTGGAAACATGAGATTAGTTTTCTGATATCATTATTTACATATTTTTCGTCATTCTCCGTTACCTTCTACAACTTTATTTATTTAATATAATAGATTCTAAAATTCTCCGCTCCCCAACGATATATTATACGCATACCTTTTGACTGTTATTTCTGGAGATTCATTTTCAACCAGCATAAGGATTTTTATTTTTTTCTCAAGTTTTGAATTATCATATTCTTTCAAACGTCATATTTAGCCGTTTTTCCTAGTTACTGTCAATGAAAGAGACTTAATTTTTTAAAATAAACAACAAATATCTTTATTTATTTTCGAGGAAGACACATATGAATATTGAACATTTAAGCCCTATAAAGTGACATTAATGGGGATAAGACCTAAATGATATTAAAGACCATTTAATTATATATATATATATATATATATATATATATATATATATATATATATATATATATACAGGTAAGTGAAAGTAAAAATTCAAACTCAGACATTGTTCAAATCTTTTAAGAATTTTTAAACCCTCCAATAATAATAAAATAAACTTGAAATTGAAACTTTTACGGAACTTTTATAAAAGTTGCGTTTCAAAATTTCCAAGGAACTTCTTTTGCAATAATGTTTTAGATTTATCATAAACGTTTAACTTTTAATTATTCGAGATCTTAAAAAAAGTTTCGCTAAATATTGAGGATTTTTGGTTGTTATTTCGCTTTTATTTATTTTTTATTTTTCCGTACATGTAGTGTGAATGTTATCCTACTTTACTATAACTAATGTCCAAGTGACAGATTGTTGTACTACTAATTAAAATTAAAAAAAAAAAATGTTGAGAAAAAATCATTCTTATTTGAACGATCGTAGGAAATGACATTTCCTTTGTTTGATTTATTACAGATGTCGTTTACAATCACCATTTTTTAGATTTACTTCTTAAAGAAATGAATTACAGGAACTGAATTTCTAAATAAATAATATTATTATAAAAACTTTTATCAAAAAATTTGCTTGGAAAAAGTTCTAGTTCCAAATGAACTACCTGATTTTTTAAAAATAAAAGTTTTTTTTCTAAGAAACTTAAGATAATAGAATATAAGTAAATAATTATTTTATTTATCTTTTTCAAACCAATAAATTACAATTTTTAATATAAAAAGTTGGAAGAAATTTTATAGTTTAAGAGTTAATCCCAAACGAGTTATAAATATTTAAATATATTGAATGAATTAAAAAACAATAGGTTGAAAGTTATAAATCACATACACTAAATGTTTAACTTGCTTCAAGCTAGAGTGTACAATGAATAGGATAAATTTAAGAAGAGCTCTTTCGTTTCCACATATTATAAAGGCCCCCCTTATATGGTGGTTACAAAAAGAAAATCCATATGATGGGCAGGCGTCGTATAAATAAGGTTATAAGTATCCAGTCTTCGAAACGATATAATTATTATATCCTTAAGTTTTTTTGTTAATGAAAAAAACATAGAGGTAACAACCGAAGTTTCTTATGTTGATATTATTAATTAATATATATTTATTTATTTATTTAGTCATATTTGGGTGACTTGTGCAACTACATAGGTTGGAGGCACCTTATTCAATGTCATTACGTATCCAATAAAAACATGTCTGCAAAAGATTGCGATGTTTATGATGAAATCATATAGATTGATAGCATATTATTTTAATTGTGGAATATATATATATATATATATATATATATATATATAATATATATATATATATATATATATATATATATATATATATATATATATATACTTATGGAATGATGAACAAACACATCACGAAAATAGCGATACTTGATAAGCAATAACATCTAAAATTTATTTGTGCACAAATGGCAACTTACTTCTAATCTTCTTTAAAAGTTGAATATAATATGTGACAAAAGTACGCCAAAGTAATATCAGTGGCATTAAACTGGAACGGATATTAGTTGATTCATGAATAATGCAACGGGGAGATTATATATCGAACTTGTGTAAATGGCAACGAGATCCAACGCAGTGGCAATATTGACCATTAACTGGGAATTAACAAGCCAATCTTCACAATAAAGTTAATTCTCGACCGCTATAAAATTGTTCAAATGGCTGAGGAGAATATAGATCGTCTTTCATAATATTTGGAGATATAATTTCACTTTAAATGTCTTGGAGCGGTGCACTTCTTTTAGTTAATGAGTCATTTTTGGGCTGTGTTTGATGAGGTGTGTTACATTTGGTCTGCATAGATAGCTTCTATTAGTGCAAAGGTCGCATGTAAAAAACATTTATTTCTTTACGATTTATTTGTATAATTTCATATTTTATTTCTATTTGCCATTTTCCTACTAAGCAGATTACTTATAGCAGTTACAGACTACAAAACGTCACCTTTTGCTCAAAGAGAATAATCATGTAAAAATTTCACATACCTATTACACTAACTCTAGAGATATGTGATCTTCTTTTCTCTTTCTCCGTGATGTCTGCTATAGACTCTTTCACCTCAACTATTTACATATTTATCATCGCTATTAAAAAAATGA